ATCATCATATATTTAATGACAGTGATGACAGTGAAGGAAAGAGCTTATAGAACAAGGAAAACAATCTCACTCATAACTAAAACAATGCAAATTAAAATAATAATGCAATTGATTTGTTAAATGTTGAGCACCTACTATGTGCCAGCACTATGGAAGGTGTAGGAGGTATGGCAGAGACTAAAACCTACAGAGTTGTGGCTCTCAAAGAACTTATACTCTAGTTGAGGAGACATAAAAACAACGAGTAAAGAACAGGTAAGTGCATGAGCTTATAATTAGAGTCCTGGATAAAGCCCAGTTTCAGTGAGTCCACTGGGCCCATGGATCCAAATGGGGGTCATTTCCCTTGTTCTCAAGTGTATAATTGAGATTAACAGACTTGAAAGTTGGAGATGGAGAAAGCCAAGGGATAAAAAACAACATTACAGTTTTGCTCCAGGGTTATGCTAATTATCCCACTTATCACAATATAGTCTGAAAGAACTGGACTTCTCTCAGAACATTATTACATTGATAACATCATGCTGATCAGGCAAAAGAAACAAGAGGTAGTTAGCATACTGGAGACCTGGGTAAGATGTGTGCGTGCTCCAGCAGGTGGGAAAGAAGCCCTATGAAGATTCAGGGATCCACTTCAGTACAGTTTCCAGGATCCAGTGGTCGGAGATGGGGTGGGGTGCTGGGATATGCCTTCAAAGTAAGAGACATATTACTGCATCTTACATCTTCTGCTACAAGGAAGGAAGCACTGTGACCGATAACACTTTGGGGTCCTGGAAGCAACACATTCTACACCTAAATATTGTGTTAGTCCGTATACTGGTATCATGGAAGGCTACCAGCTTTGAGTGGGGCCCAGAGCAGAAAAGGGCTTTACACCCAGTCCAATATAAGTGGCTGAGCTGCTTGGGCCATAAGCTCCAGCAGATCTATGATGGTCAAGTTGTCAGTGGTGGAAAAGTAGAGTTTATGGTCAGTCTCTTTGGGAGAATCACAAGGTAGACTTCTGGAGTTTGGGAGCATGGTCATGCCATCTATAGCTAAACAGAGTTCTTGATACGTCACTGAGCCCTATAGACCTGAACTGTTTGAACAGGGAATACCAAGTACCTAGACCTACCTGTGATGAGTTAGATTATTTTGATGCCATCAAGTTTTAAAGTCAAACAGATCCAGCAGTGATCCATTAAAAGATGGAGCTAGTACATCCAGGATTGAGCCCAAGCAACACCAGAAGGCACAAGTTAGCTTCATGAGCAGGTAGTCCAGGCCCCCATGTCACCCCACAACAGTTACAAAAGCATTTCTCCCTCAGTTTTCACCTACCTATATGGGGGTCCTTGTATGACCAGCTTAAACAGGACAAAGCCTGAGTCTGAGTTCTGGATGGGTTGACTTTGCATATGTGAGCAAGCCAAAAATGGACAGCAGCTACATTACAGCCACTCTCAGGGTGGACTTGAAAGGAAGTGAAGAAAGAAAATCTTTCCAATGGACAGAGCTGCAAGCAGCATGCCTTCTTCTTTGTGAAGAAGGAGAAATGTCCCAAGATAGGAAAGTATATTTCTTATCTATTGCTACATTATAAATTACCTTAGCAGCTTAAAACAACACATATCTCACAGTGTCTGTAAGTTAGAAATCCGGGTGTGGTTTGGCTGGACCCTCTGGCTCAGGCTGCAACTAAGACGTCAGCCAAGTTGGATTCATCTCCAGGCCCCACTGAAGGAGGATCTGCAATCAAGCTCACTCACGTAGTTCTCAGGATTTGGTTTCTTTCCTTTTTTTTTTTTTTAAGATTTGTTATTTGACAGAGAGAGATACAGCAAGAGAGGGAACACAAGCAGGGGGAGTGGGAGAGGGAGGAGCAGGCTTCCCGCGGAGCAGGGAGTCCGATGTGGGGCTCGATCCCAGGACCCTGGGATCATGACCTGAGCCGAAGGCAAACGCTTAAAGACTGAGCCACCCAGGCACCCCAGGATTCAGTTTCTTACAGGATGCTACACTGAGGGCCTCAGCTTCTTACTGCCTTTTAGCCCGAGTTCCTCTGTTCCTTGCCACATCAGCCTCTATAGGGTAACTTACAACACGACAGCTGGCTTTCATGAAAGCGAGCAAGTAAGAGTATAAGAGGGTGAGCAGGATGGAAGCTAGTCTTTTGGTAACTAATATCTGAAGTGATATCCCTTTACTTTTGCTGTATTCTATTTGTGGGAAGTAAGTCACTAGGTCCAGCCGCACTCCAGGGGGAGGGAATTACATAAGGGCATGGACACCATTAGGTGGGGATCATTGGGAGCCATCATAGAAACTGCCTTTCACAATACATATTCCCAGGCAATGCTATTAAAGCATTGGAATGGACTAGTGAAGGTACAGCTGAGGTGCCAATTTGGTGGCAATACCTACAGGATGGAGTGCCATCCTTCAGAACACAGTATCTTTTAGAGACCCCTTTATGGGACTGTATCCCCGCTAAGAATAATATTAAGGATGGAAGCAGAAGTTTTCTTGCCATTATTCCCAATGACTTATCCTGGTAATTCTGAGAAGTGCAAGGTTAGAAGTCCTGGTTCCCAAAGGAAGTGCCCCCTTGCCATGAAACAGAGCAAGGAGTCCCACTGAATTACAAGGTACATTCACCACCTGGATACTTCAAAACCTTTGTGTCCAGACACCAGCTGACAAAGAGTAAAATCTGGAACAATTAACCCTGATCAGTAAGAGAGATGGGGCTGTTGTTACACAATGGGGGCAGGAATGAACACAAGTACTTGGGTACCTCCTGGTAGTCTGTTACCCAACTGTAACTGTGAATGAGCACATAGAGCAACCCCAGTGCAGGAAGGATATGAAGACCCCTCAGGAATGAGGGTTTGGGTTCAACCACCCAGGAGAGCCACCAGTACTTGTGGAAGTAAAGGTAGAGGATGAGGGAGATCTAGAATGGATAGCAGAGGAGGGAGAGGGTGAGTACCAGTTTTGACTCAAAAACTAAGGACAGAGGTGGGACAATAGCTTGTCCCACTAACCTCCTTTTTCTAAGTTGCTCCTCAGGAAGAGGGGACTATAGGAACCATGGATGAGCTGCTGTTTGAACTTGTCTGAAATGGATGCCCTGTGAGGCAGTAGGAGTGGACGATGGTGGCCACAGAAGTGTGTCGTTCAGTTCTCCCTTTAAGAGAACCAGATGTAAGGCCAGTTCTTGCATCTTTGGATATGTCCCAGTGTTCACCCTGTGGCCACAGTCATGCCAGGCTGGTCCCAGCCAACGCCTGAGTTAGGGGGTTCTAGAGCTAGGCCAATTCTGCCAAACATGAGACTTCTCTGTCTCAGCTCAGAGTAGAGCTACTGTGCAGTTCTCCTTCCCCTTCTCTCTTCATATGTGTTACACCTACATCGCAATTGGAAGGCTCTTCTGCCTCCTCTCACTCTCCAGCCCCCTATAGTGGGCTCTGCCCCCAGCAAACCTCAGACGGCCTAATTCCTTCTTGGTGACTTCTTCTTGGAGGACCTGGACTGACGCAAGAGCTGAGTGAACTTCTCCCTGGGAGTTCAGGGTAAAATTCCCAAAGGAATTTCTTGAATCTGAATCGATTCTAACCCAACACACGAGTCTCCCAACTATACAAGTCCACACTACAGTCCCACTTACAGAGCATAGATTTGTACATTAACAAAAACTGTAAATTCCTGTTGCTCTGGGCAGTTAGCCACCGTGTCCAAGCAGGTAACCCCCACAGATGGGTAGAAGAGTACCGAAAGAAGTCAAAGTAGGAATTGTCTACTGCTGCAAATTCCTATAGGGCAGACTCTTGGTCAATGCCAAGACTTCAGAAATCTTGAATGCAAAGGAAAAACTGAAACTCCGCTTGAGCTCCACAATCAGAGAAAGAAATTAATAAATAACATGTTAGGTGAGTCAGAGAGCTGTTGTCCTTTGCATGAGCTACAGTCCACTCAGCAGGACATCTGTCTGATGAAAGGACTTTTTAACAGGAGTGGTCAGCCGGCTTTCCAGAAATGAGGGCGCCGAGTTACGTAAAAGATGCCTTTAGAGATTCTTGGCTTGGTTTCCTATTTATCACTCAGACCTTTTCACTACAAAAAACCATTCGATGCACTTAGTGCTCCACTCCCCACCTCTGCATTTTTTCAGGACATTTAATGGAAGTGTTATGGGTGTCTGATTTTAGAGGCAATGGAATAACATGTAAGACAGTTACCAAACTGGGGGATAGATGTGTGTGAGGTCAAGCCCCTCTTCCGTCTCTTATGATTGAAGCTTGTGCAAAAGCAAGCATCTCATAGCAAAGCATGTTTTTTAAATACCCCAAGATCTTGTCTTGGATGTTTTTTATTTTTTATAGGAATAAAGACTTATTTAGAGTCTTTGTTCTAAGGAGCGGGGCAGTTTATCATCAAAGAGTGGTTGAACCCAAAATTCTTTCAAATGGCAAAGCTTCTAAAGCTAGAGAATGCTCTGGCTTTATTTTTATTAAAAATTTTAAGGCAGATGAGGAATAGCCAAAAAAAGACAAGAGGGAATATAGGCAAAGTAATAAAAGTAACAGCTAATATTTGCTGAACACAGAGTATGTTCAGGTTTAAAAGGATTATCCCACATATTCCGAGCAAAACCTTGTAAGATAGAACACCATTATTATCCCCATTATCCAGATGAGAAAACCAAAATTCAGAAACGCCGAGCAATGTGTCCAATGTCACAAAGGTCCGCCCAACTCCAGGGCAGGAGTTGGCAAACCCTTCCGTAGAAGGCCAGGTCATAAATATTTGGGGCTTCTTGTGGGGAAATACAGTCTCTGTCTCTCTGTGGCAACTACTTGATCCTGTGGTTGCAGCGTGAAAGCAGCTATAAACGATAAGGTAAATGAAAGGGTGTAACTGTGTTCCAACAAGACTTTTATTTACAGAGTCAGGCCACCTGGACTGGCAGGTGGGCCTAACCTCTGTGAATATTGTTTGTTTGCTGTTCTCAGGTGGGACAGTGTTTTAAATTGTGAAGCACGTGGATTGCTTTTCAAAATAAATGCATTTGGAATCCCGCAGAGAAAATTCTAACCAAGTTGGAACCATCTAAAATACAAATTCATTCATTCAGCAAACACTGGGTGAGTACTTAATGCTGGGGTACCGACAATTGTGATAACAGATACCTAAGTTTACAGTGGAGTTTACAGTGGGAAAAGAAAGTCATGTAAATAACCAGTTATTGTGTGAATCTACTGTATAAGTGCTATATGATAGGGGCGGTGATTGGGTAGCAAGGGGACTTAGAGGAAGGGCAACTATCTGACCTGAGGAATCAGGGGGCTTCTGGCAGAATGGGCCAATGATCCAGTGTCAACACTATGTTCCTACCACTTAGCTCACTCTCCAGGAGCAAAGGTTATTTGTGGTTTGGTTTTGTTTTTGTTTTTTTTTAAGATTTTATTTCCCAGTCATCTCTGCACCCAAGGCAGGTCTCGAACTCACAACCCCGAGATCAGGAGTCCCATGCCCTACCAACTGAGCCAGCCAGGCGCCCCCACAAAGGTTATCTGAATAACAATAGCTGGAGTGTGGCTTGAGCTTGCTGTGCAGGCTCCATCAGTGTGAAACTCGGGCTCTTTACAGTGTAAATTTCTCATGGCCAGGGCTTGACAATGTCACCTGGGGGTCTGTTTAAAAAAAAGAAAAATCACCAGTTTATTTTTAGGAATCTTAGTTTCTCCTATTTTGCTTTGAATCCTTACCCTAAGAAGCACTGTGCTCACTCTCAGTGGCTGTCTGCTCTCCCAGAGAGCAGCAAGTAGAGTAAGTGGGGAACTGTGGACCGGCCTAGCAGGAGTTCTGAAACCTGGTTGGATATGAGATACTTGAAATAGCACTCTAGGGCCCTGATCCTAAAGATCGTGACTTAGAAGGTCTTGGTTAAGTGTCTGAGAATCCAACTTTTTAACAAGCACCCCAAGTGATTTTGATGTGCGTGAACTATGTTTAGAAACTGCTGGTCGGGAGGATTTCTGAAGTTGTTTTTAACCTTTCCAGGCAGCTCTTCTGTGTTTATTGCCATGACTACATTTACAAACATCCTACCAAGAGGGAAGGAAAAATCTAACTGGTTTTAGGGATGTTTACCACTGTTACTACCTTCCCATCATTCCCATATAGGGCCAATGATTTGTTTGATAGGCTGTTGTGTGGAAGTCGACTTTGTTGCCCTAATATGCTGAAGAACGGTCAGGAGTTCCTCCTTGTTAGGCAACAGGATAAAAATGAGACTCTTGGATGGGTCATGCTTGCATGCTTACTTCAGGCATGCTTTACATAGCAAAAGAGCAGCACCTGTGTATAAATCAAGCCTAGTAAAGCACAAGCAAGACTCTTTCTGCCTCCGGGTTCTGGACAGATGGGTTGGCGGTCTTCTTAGCCCCCGTGTTGGTTTAAACTATGTCCAGTAGCATCACTGAGTGCCGGCTGGCAAAACTTAGAAGCTGGAAAAGCAAAAGGGTAAAGGAGGAGGAACATACAAGAGAGGGAGTTTTAGAAGGCAATGAGAAAGAAAAGAAATGCTGGAGTGGCAGAAGGGTTCCAATTTCCTAATTCTGCTTTAAAAATTAGTCCAGGGGCTCCTGGGTGCTCAGTCAGTTAAGCGTCCGACTCTTGATCTCAACTCAGGTCTTGATCTCAGGGTCATGAGTTCAAGCCCCACGTTGAACTTAAAAAAAAAAAAATTAGTCCAATTATTGGGTTTTCAGTTCTCTGGCACTCCAAAGACCCAGGATTTTTCATCTTTCATTCCAAATTAGGGCATTTGGGTAGAAGCAGAGCCATGAGCCCAGCAGGAGGATTTTCAACCAAAAAAAAGTTCTGGATACCCTTCTGGATATTAAATTATTTCATGTGTCTCTGAAGAGAGTACAGGGAGAGGAGTGTCTTATTAGGCTATAGAAATATGAATAAGATGATCTCATAGAGACAATCTGATAAAGGCATCAAATGATCACATTAAGCTATAACTGTTCATACATAAAATTGATTTTTAGAGATTTTTTTAAAGATATAGGTATTAGAAATTCCTGAGTCCCAATTTTCTATTGTTGCTGTTGTTCCTATTATTGGTATATTGGGGAAAAAATACTCTGTATGTTTCTCCTTTTCTTTTTTGTAGTATTCGTCACCCTGTTCCTGAGCATTATTAATGGCCAGCTAACTTTAGTGAATATTATGAGTCTTGGCACTAACCAGCTAGTGGGTTTAACTCCCATAGCTATGAGCCCAAAAATTGTTACTGAGTCCTTTATGAATACTAAAAATGAAGACAGGCAATGCTCTCAAATGATTTTGACGCAGCAGGAACTTTCCCAAACAGCCAGCTCTTAATTTTCCATGCTTTAGAGCAGAGTGCACTTTTTCATCTTACTTTGGAATGTGTTTTTATTCTAACATTTGAATATGGATGTTTCTAGAATTCTAGGAATTCAATGGACTTTAAATAAAATAATGTTGCTATTCGGGGAAGATCCAGCTCTGAAGAAATTGGAGAACAAGCCAACTTCTCATTCTTAGAGATGAGTTAAATATGCAGGGGGAGAGAGTCATGTCACAAAGAAACTGAAAGGCAGATTTGTCATGGATTTGGATAATCAACATTTGGCTATGCTGAATGAGACAGCTCAGACCTTGTTTTTCTTCAGATCGTGTTCCCCCCAATTACTGCTCAAGGTGAAAGCAAATGTTCATTTTGACTAGGATTTTAAACAAATTATAAAATAGTTTTTTTTTAAAGTACCATTTATTTTTGTAGGTGCTAGGTAGATCTGATTCCGCTTTTTATTCTACCGTGCACGTGCATGCATGCATATGTGTGAATAAGACTGTACTCCCCAAGTCTACCTGGAAAGAAGGATGGGCCCCCTGTGCCACAAAATAGTATTTTAATTTTCCTCTTTCCCTTTCTTTGAAATTCTCTCCTCCTTCCCCCATCAAGGTAAATATCCCACAGTGTGATCTGCCAGACAAGGAGAGAGGAGAAGGAAGACAAAAGAGCAGGCTGGTGATTTGCTTTTCCCTACAATCCCTACTGGCGGGTTGGTTAGAGTTATTCTTCTCCATCTCCAAGGTGTAGCACCGGAAGGGAAAACAACCCAAGCTCCCAGGAGCAGAGGGGTTAAGTACTCTGGGGAAAATAAATACATCTTGGTAACTCCAAATTGTCTTCAAATTTTATGTTTATTGGCCAGTTAATAATATCTTCTAAGGAATTTTTCTGTACACGAATAACATCCCCATTCCTAATTCTGCTACTTGCACAAAGCCATGAGATGGTTTGAGATTCATTTGTACACACACACACACACACACACAGCATATTTTGTACAGTTTAGGATCCTCTGCTTCCCTTAAAGGGGAAATACTGAGAACAGCCATTCTGCTGTGGACTTAATAAAAGGTAAGAATTGGAAGGGAATTTTGTTGTTGTTTTTTGTTTGTTTTTATTATGTTCAGTTAGCCACTGTATAGTACCTCATTAGTTTTTGATGTAGTGTTCAATGATTCATTAGTTGCCTATAACACCCAGTGCTCATCACAACACGTGCCCTCCTTAATACCCATCACCTGGCTACCCCATCCCCCCACCCCTGTCCCTTCTGAAACCCTCAGTTTGTTTCTCAGAGTCCATAGTCTCTCATGGTTCATGGTTTGTCTCCCTTTCTGATTTCTCCCCCTTTAGTTTTCCCTCCCTTCCCCTATGGTCCTCCAAGCTATGAAGGGAATTTGAAAACCTTGTCCGAACCTTTTCCTTTATAGATAAGGAAAAGGCAGCCAAAACAGGTTCAGTGATTTTCCCCAAAGTTACACAGCTAGTGCCTGGCATACCAAAGACTCAAATCCATCCTTGGGGTGCATGCATGCATGTGTGTGTTTCTCACCACATCTAGGGAAGAAACGTCTTGAGAGACATTCTGAAACTCATTAAAAAATTAACCTAATGGAGGTTGAAATTGAGGGTGTCTTAATTAGTTATTAAGTTTATTAAACCAAACTTTGCTGTGGACCTTCAGGGAACAGTCATATTAAAATATTTTAAGCCATATAAAAACCTCACTTTAATTACTAAGTAGGCACGCCAGCCTGGAAAGATGGGTTTTGGACCAGCCCGACAGTCAATAAATGGGAGCAAATGCTTCCAGCCTTCACAGCTTTAGGCTGCTCACCTGGGAGAACTGCTGCCTTCCCTTGTCATAGGCCCTCGAGGAAGTGGAGTGATGAGTACTGAATTCAAGCTTATGGGGTAAAGGCACAAATGGGACCAGTAGGAAAAATACTAACTTCTGATGTGCAGGCCCTAGGACGGTAATAATATTGATCAATCTGCATTTGTAAGGAACCAAAGTAGTCTAATTACTGCGTACATTTATAACACACCAAGTTGACTCACCACTTGTTATTAATCCGGCTAGCATTCATAGCAGTGCTGGACAGCAGCGCCCTACTTTCCGGCTTCTTTGACCATTTGGCCATGTTCACTGTTTCTCATGGTTTCCTTTTGTCCGTTAACACCGTGGTTCTCAAAGAGCAGCTGTGAGGGTCCTCCAGATGGTTAATCTCTAGCAGTCTGAATATCTCTGCGTAGATTAGTGAGCAGCTGCTTATGGTATGAAGCAGGGCCTCCCTCGCCGTGCAATGTCATGCCGCTCTTTGTCTCTGCTACCCTCTCGTCCGGATCGCCCGCCTCTCTTCTCCGACTGATGCGCTTGCACATTATGCCCCAAAGAGGAGGTTCCAATGTCACCTGTCAGTGAGGTTTCTCCCTGACCCCAGAGGACTGACCCCACTCTCTGCTTTTACTGTATGCCATTTCACTTAGCACAGAACCTCTGTGACAACACTTTCAGAGCCGATCCAAATCACTGATTTACCTTTCTGTCTTTCAAAGTAGAATGGACACCATGATGGAAGTGACTGCCCCAGCCACTCTGTGGCCCCAGGGACAGCCTGAGTAGGCCTTTCATTCCTGTTTGTCAAACGCATGCTGTTGCTTCACTATTTTATGACTCACTGAATAAATATCTTCACCGAATCTCCCCTGTGGTCTGAATTTTGTGTTAATTCTTAGACCCCACCCCCACCCCATTCCCACCCCAGTGTCCTGACAGCCTTCTCTTAAGAGTGCGGTGGACTTGGACTTTTACTGTAGCTATATCGTCTTTCCCTTAGGGTCTTCCTTTCCATTTATTCTGACGGGAATTTGACGAAAATTGCTCTTTGGGGCCAAGGTTTCCCTAATATGATCCTACTTTTGTCTATCATCTTTTTCAAGATTTTATTTTTTAAATCATCTTTATACCCAACGCAGGCCTTGAACTTACAAGAATTGCTCTACCGACTGAGCCAGCCAGGCGTCCGTCTCCTATCCTCTTGATACTTCTCCCCCCCGGACACCCTGACCACATCCAGCTACGACACATCATTCATCAGTTTCCTTACACTTTCGCAGTTCCCAGTCTGTGCTCAGATTTGGTTCTCATTCATTTATTCATTCACATTTGCATTTCATTCACTTATTCAATAACTACTGAGCACTTACTATATGTCAAGCACTGTTCTTTCTGGTGTTCTGCCAGGACCACCCTTCTCCTCCCTTAGAAATTTTATTCCTCTCCTAATCTCCCCCAGTTAGTCCTAATTTGTCCTTCTTCTTCTACCTTTTAGCACTTTGCTGTTTTCTTTTGTGTTTACATTGTATTTTGTTTGATGATTAGTTTTTTGGTCTGGATTTCTTCTCCAGCAGATGTCCTTGGGGGACAGGAGATGTTCTGCAGTGTTGTATCTCCCATCCAACCTGGCATAGCCTTTTACAGGTAAACCGCCCTCAGTAAAAGTCCCTTGAATTGAAAAGTGAGCAAACTATTAAGAAACCTGTAGAGGAAGATGGAAAGGTTGGAGGCTTCTAGGGTTTTGACTTGTACACTCTTGCTAATCTCCCCCAGAAGCCACATAAGCTAGCTACAATCAGCACGGTGAACTCATGGAATTCACCATTAAGTAGAGAAATCTAATGCTACTGGATTGTATATTTATAAATGGTTAAAATGATAAATATTATGCTATTTATATGTTATCCCAATTTAAAAAAAAAGAGAAATGTTTTGCCCTGACTTAGGAAAATTGAAAAAAAAAAAAAAAAGAGAGAGAGAACAAATAACTTAGGGGCACCATTAGGAAGGGAACTTGTTTCAGGAATGAAAGAAAGAATGTCTATAGCTTATCCTGATTCCTTTCTGCAAACTGCAATCCGATCCTCTAACTATTGCATTCCTCTTCCATAACTGGGAGGAGGGGATGGATTTGTCAAATTATCTTACAGAGGGAATGGTGGTGGGAGAAGCAGAGAAAACTGGTGTTTCCACCCCATTCTCCACTGCCACATACTCCACCAGTCCTGACTTTCTAGGCATCTTCCCAACTTTGAGTAATGACTTCCAGTGACATAGAAGGGTAACCAATTCAAGGATTAATTGTAGCTCCACATGGGGTGCCCGGCTGGCTCTGTAGGTAGAGAATGTGACTCTTGATCTCCGGGTCATGAGTTTCAAGCCCCACGTTGGGCATAGAGCTTACTTAAAAAAAATTACATCTCTACTGGTAACAACTGTGCTCTATTATGATTATTAGATACCAAAATGGCCATAATATTGTTCTTTGAGATACAAGAAACACTAGCAAATTTGTGTCTTATAGTTTATTGGTATCCCCATGCACCCTAAGGTCACACATACGCATACACATAGCCCCATCCGCACTTATAAAATATTTACATAGATATATGCATACACACACTTAAACTCACTTTCTAAAGCAAGACTCTGCAATTTTCTAAAACTGCACTAAATCCTTAGCTTTGCCAAGCAGGACAGCATGATAGGGAAGGAACTGGAGCCCTTGTGCTATCATATCGCACTGGGCAAGCACCAGGTGGGAGGCGCGCCTAGAGGCGGTTCTTTCTGAAGACAGCCCAGCACTTAAAGCTAACCCTGAGTTCAACACCATCAGTGAGACAAGTTACAGGACTTCATGGCAGCGCATCACAGAAATTCAGGAACGTATCAAAGCATTCGTCACTCTGGTGGCAGGAAATAAGCTGAAAGAATGTAGAGAATTACAATCACACATAATAGTGTTATCGTTGGGAACTGTAGAATTTGGATCACGTGTGCATAGGCTTCTTTTATTTTTATTTTATTTTTAAAAAGATTTTATTTGAGAGAGAGAGAGAGCACGAGGGGAGGGAGGGGCCAACGGAGAGGGAGAAGCGACTCCCTGCTGAGTAGGGAGCCTGAGGCAGGGCTTGATCTCAGGACCCCGGGATCATGACCTGAGCGAAAGGCCGATGCTTAAATGACTGAGCCCCTAGGTGCCCCTAGGCTTCTCCTTTTAAATGAGTTCCTCTTGCAGGTACTGTTATAAGCACTCAAGGGAAAGGGGGTTCTGGATAAAATCAACTAGGGACCAGCTACGCCCAGGTGGGCAAATGCTATACAGTGTGAACAGTAGGATGAGAAGCAGCTAGAGTGGGTGAAAATCAATTCTGAGTGTAAGCACAGCCTTGGCAGCACTGTTGGGGAATTTTTTTCCCCCTGGAGATGTGACGGCTTAAGACTGTTAGGTTGATGGGCATGCAATCACTGAGGCCCCTGCATGGAATAGTCTCTGGTCCATAGGTTTGGGCTCCTCAGCATCTACAACAGCATGGTGTATGTGAGAGAGAGGTGGAGCTCTAACCAGATCTCTCTAATTGCCAAAATGATTCAAGACCCAGGTACACCTCTTTTACCAAAGGTAGAGACCAAGGTAGCCCATAGCCTGACAATCCTCTCAATCCTTCCCAAAGTTGGCAGGTAATCAGAATCACGGAACTCTTAAAAAACACAAATTCCTAGCTCAACTACCCAAAGAGCCTGATTCAGAAAGTCTGTGCTACAGCCTAGAACCCTGTCATTTTAAAAAATTTCCATGGGTGGTCTTGTGATTCAACAGGCTTGGGAACCACTAGTTTAAGTGATAGTCCATTTTTGCTAATGCGTGGTAAAAAAAAAAAAAAATTAAAGTGATGAGAACAAGAAAGATGACAGAATGAGGTCTGAGAGTTCCTTACCATCCCTCCGGGTCTTCAGTGCTCTGTTGTGCTGTGGGAGTATCCACACCCTTAGGGTTTTTACAGGATGTTGAGAGGGGAAGCCTTGTAACCTAGAGAGCTGTGAACTGCTTCATGCTGACGGAGAACTAAGAAAGGGGTCATGTGTAAGCTGATTAGGATGATTTCCCTCTCTGCGTGTTTCGTCCCCAGGCAACAATTAAGACTGAACCCCTGAGTGAATCTAAATTACTCAGGTCTAGTTCAAATCAGTATTTCTCCCTCTATGGGTAAGAGAGGATGTATCCATTCCCCTTTTGTGGACCTGGTTCTTCACTTCTCCCACCCTTGGCAGGCTAGGCCCTAGTATTTAGAACTTTAGAAATACCAAGTTAAAAAGTTTAGCAAAGACACAGACCAGCTGTCAGCAACCTTTTTTTAAGCTTATGAAAAAAATGCATGAAAGCATTATTCTAATCCCCGTTGCCAATCCTATAAAATTCCTATTGTTATCGAGCATCTTTTAATGAGATTACAAACTTGGTGGGATCTGTTTTTGTTTTGTTTTGTTTTGTTTTTACCAAATGGTAAATTAGTATGAATGGCAGCCTGGGTACCATGGCTCCTATTTTCAAAGCATTGCCTTGTCACAAAGGTATTCTGCACAAGGTGACATTGCTGAGGGATAGTCTGGTGGTTATGCACACACCAGTTCACAGGGTCGAGTGGTTTAGAGAAACCTCCAAAGGTGCCACCCATGTGACTTCCAAGCATCATGCCTGTTCCTCATGTCAAAAGAGATTTCTTAAGAGGTTAAATAGGAAGATATATAATTCACTTCAAAGTCTCCTTTTGGAATGCTTCCAAGTGCATATTATTTTTTAAATCACATTTGATAGTTCTCATGGTTACCAAATTTCTAAAAGAACTAGAATCAATTACCTCAATGGAAAGAATTTTCAACTCTTTACCTATATAGAATTTCTTTCAGTCATGCTAGGAAGAGTAATGAAAAAGTGGTAACTTGTTGTTCTACTTATTTTTCAGTGGGTGAATCCAGTAAGTGATCCTACCAGCATTTGTGTAATTCGACCTATACGCCAAGTTGGACAACCCTGCTCTTTGCTCTGACATCATTCAATAGAAAATGATGTGTAAATGGAATAAATAAGAAGCTTTTAAAAATAAATATCTCAAAATGTAACTATAAATTTAGAAAATCAATGGATACTGGAAATGACAACATAAAGTGCTAATTCCATTTCCAAACATCTTTATCAGCGCCAAGAAATGCCCTGGGTGGGGAATTGTGCTAGTTTCTAGTGATGCAAAAAGGTATGAGACATGGCTCTGTCTCAGTTGCTTATGATCCTGTTTGGAAAATAGACTTTGAACATGAAAAAATGAATAATAAATCACAGAATTTTTATCTAATTTATTTCTTCACAGATCATTTTGATTCTGGCAAGAATCATTTGATGGAAAAAAACAGCAAGCCAGGGCTGGAAACATAGTTCAGATAGTTTAAGTGGGGTCTTAAAAAAAAAATCTAAAGAAGAGTAAACTGATTTACTTTATTCTGAAGTACTTGAAGAACTTCACTTACAGTAATTTCTTAAGCTAAATATCAGGGTCTGTAAACTTTTTTAAAAGATTTTATTTATTTGACAGAGAGAGAGAGAGAGCAAGAGAGCACAAGCAGGGGGAGCAGCAGAGGGAGAGGGAGAAGCAGGCTCCCCGCTGAGCAGGGAGTCCAATGTGGGACTGGATCCCAGGACCCTGAGATCATGACCTGAGCCAAAGGCAGATGCTTAAGCGACTGAGCCACTCAGGCACCCCTCTAAACTTTTAAACCAAAATAGCTACCATTTCCTGACAGACTTTATCAAACATTTTACACCCTCACCTCTGTCTTCAATGCAGAGATGATGATGATGATGATGATGATGATGATGATGATTTTATGAATGATAAAACAGAGACTTGAACAGGTTAGGACAGATACTATTGTAGATCATATTACTGCTCACCCCTCTTTGCTCCTCTGTGTGTGAATCCAGATGTGGTCATATGAAGCTTCAACCAATAAAATGCGAGCAAAAATGATGTGTGTCACTTCTGGCAGCAACTCTAAGAGCCAGTGCATGATTCACATGCTTTCTCTCTTTCCATGAAGCCCTGCATGGAGGCAGCCCTGGTCCTGGACTGAAGACCGTCTGGAGTAGAGCCATAGTCAATCCATGGTGGACATGCAGTATGAATGAGAAACAAACCTGGGATGTGAAAAGCCACTGATATTTTGGGGTTGATTGTTTCTGTAGCAAAACCTAGTCTATCCTGACCAGTATACATAATAAATGGCTAAACTAGAATTCAAACCTAAGTCTGTTTAATTTCCAAGCACAGATGCTTGGCACAAAGTAGGCACTCCATAAACATTTGTTGAAGGAAGGAATACAGAACTGTTGCCCAGAATCAAACGCAATACTTCAGATGTGACCTGATTCACATAAGAACCATTAGGAGCACAAACACTATTTTTTTTGCACTGAACATTTATTAATAGGGCTTAGAGTGTGTTAGCTTTGTTTTTTGTCAAATATACTTATTTCTTTAACAAAAATGTATTGTCTATCTAACATGTACAAGTACAGAGTGAGATGTTATAAAAGGTAAAAATAATTGTCTTCTAGCTTTTCATAATCTCATGAGTGAGAGTCACACATTCATAACCAACTGAGTCACAAGACAATGCATAAAGGGTTGGAGAGAGTATGTTGTTGAATGCAGATTGAGAATGGAACAAGGCAGCCATGAATTTCAGTCATTCATTCTACAAATATATGTTGAGTGTCAAACAATGAGTTGGGTGCTATGTTCACTGCTGCCAATACAGATTAAAAAAACACACCAGCCCCTGATCCCAAAGATCTCACAAACCGGTAAGAGAGACAGATTCCTTAATAGAGAATTACAGTAAGAGCTGTGATAAAGTCAAGATCAGGAAGCTATGATACACAGGAGGAATATGAAATCAGCCTGGAAGAATCAAAGAAGACCTTCTGGAGGAAGTGATCCTTGAGTTGATTCTTAACAGATGAGTGAGTTTTTGCAAGATGAAGAAGGGAGGGGAGTGTACTGGTGAAGAGAAGAAGTTAATTCAAATCCCAGTCAACAGTGGGTGAAAAAGCCAGACAGGTCACAAAAACAGGATAGTCTGAAAGAGCATGACTTATTCTGAGAGACAGCCAGTGGCACACTGTCTTAGTTAGCTTGGACTACCATGACAAATTAGCATAGACTCGGTGACATAGTCATTTATTTTCTCATAGAGTTACAGTGGAGGTTAAGGCTTCAACATATGAATTTTGAGGATACATAAACTTTCCGTCCATAACATAAATCATGACAGAAAATACAATATAATTTGAGGAATAGTAGAGAAAGAAAATTGAGAGGTAAGAAATTTAAGGTATGGTGTACGACCATTAGATATACTAATATACTCACAGTGATTCCCAGTTCTTTGCGAATGTCCTATACACAGGAGGGACTCTCTGATGGTCACACCTGTGCCATGTGCTCCTGCCATGAGTCTAGAAATCAAGGTGGATGCTCAGAATATTATTCCTAGGAATTTTGAACCTAGAAGCAAGGGATACAGAGCCTGAGAGTCTTTAAATTGAGTCCCATTAATGATAACCCTATAGAGAGAAGGGCCACCACAAACAGTGTACAATCAGCACCATTATAAGTGGTAGCCCTGGTTAAGGATTGTTTCTTTTTTTAAGTAAACTCTACACCCAATGTGGGGTTTGAACTCACAACCCTGAGATCAAGAGGTGCACGCTCTACCGACTGAGCTAACCAGGCACCCCCCCCATTTAAGGTTTCTTAACTTCTGCTCCTGACATCCTCAGAGCTGTCCTGATTCAGGTTCTTCCTGGCATTTGGTTGTTCAATTCCTCCAATTCCATAAATTTCTCCAATATTTTTCCAATAAAATATACTCTTTTTTTTTCTTGAGTTAGCCAGAAGCTGGTTTTTGTTCCTTGCAGCCAATGGCATTTACACTATTAAAGATTATCATATCATGTTAGCATGTCTGGATTTTACCCTCAAGACAATGGAGAGTCACTGAAGGGTTCTGAGAAGGGAAGTAACATGATAACTTTGTTTTGGAATGATCACGTTCTTTGTGGCATGAAAGTTGGATAGATTAGAATTATAGAGATTGTTTAGAAGGCTGTTATAAAATTCTAAGCAAGAAATAATGTGGTCAGAAGGAATAGAGAGGATGAATGGATTTCAGAACTATTGAGAAAGAATTAGAACCAATAAGAGCTTGGTGACCCAATGAATAGTAAGAATTGGTGCATTACGAGTCAAAGATGCTGGCAGAAAGTTGGATCCCAGTGACTGCAGAAATGGAAAAGACTGCCATTCAGTTAAGACGGAAGACTCAGGCAGACTGTAATGTGAATTTCATTTGTAACATACTGAGTTCCCGGTAGTGGTCAAACATACAATTAAAAGTCTCAGCAATTAGATATACTGATTTGGAACTTAGGAGCAAGATTTGACCTCTAGACTTAGGGACCCTGTGCTTCTAGGTTGCTCATGCTGGTGACCGTTGGCAGTGGTAAGAACACCCTGGAGAGATGTGAAGAGCATTCAGTAAGAGGAGGACAAGAAGAGGGAAAAGAGTGGAACCTCTAGTGACAGGAGATAATATTGAACCGAAAGGCAAGACAGTAGAAGGTTTCAAGAAGGAAATCTGACAACATTATCAGTGTCTTCAAGAGGCCAAATAAGGCAAAGCCTGAAAATTCAATCGCCCTGAGAAATTAGGAATGTACTGCTGACCATGGAAAAGTAACTTCAGTGGACAGTGTGAGACTGAAAGAGATTGGAGTGAGTTAAAGTGAGAAAGAAGGGGCAGCTGGGTGGCTCAGTCCGTTGAACCTCTGACTCTTCATTTTAGCTCTGGTCATCATCTCATGGGTCATGGGATCTAGCTCCCCACTGGGCTCCTTGTGCAGCAGGGAATCTGCTTAAGATTCTGTCCCTCTGCCTGCCCTCGCTCGCTCGCTCTCTCTCTCGCTTGCTCTCAAATAAATAAACCTTCTTTTAGAAAGTGAGAAAGGTAAAATGACAGTGTAAACCCTCCTTTCATTTTAAGCAGTTTTGAAATTATATTGTTGAGGAAAAAGAGAAGGTGTTGACTAGAGATACCTAGAAAGTTCGGAGGTTAGAGATGGTTAAACGAATAGTGGCACCCATATGTACAAATACGTGTTCCTCTCCATGGCTGCTAGGAAGAGGGTAGACAAGGTGGACAGTTGGATTGACTCAGGACTGGGATTACTCCAGGTTGGTATGTAGAAGAACGAGGAGACATGCAATTGAGAGTATTAAGCAAGAAAGAGATTGAAAGAAAAATGTATCATTGTTTTTAAACTGCCTGGTGGAAGGAATGAGGAGAAGAGGAGACAGAAATTGGTGGTTGGGTGTAGGAGTCAAGGGCTTTAGTGCTTTTGATGCAATTATGAAATATATACTGATAAGGTTAGGAGATTATGCTCAGATACTAGAGTTTAAGATTTCAGAGCTGGAACAATTCCAATTGATGACAAGCTCTGGGATGTGATCAAGAGTGTAGGATAGAAAAAGTAGATAACAGGTAAAGATTAAAGATCTGTGAGGCTAGGCTGCTTGAGCATGTTTATATGTTGATGAGAATTCATTAGAGAGGGAGAGTATAAGATTTACCTTGTGTCAATCAGCAGGAAACAGACAAAATACTTTGGGATCATTTGAGGAAGGGACTATGTACAATGGTGTCGTTATAATATAGGGAACCAACAAGGGATTGTAAGGTACCCTGGGGCAAGAACAATGACCTAAGATTTAAAGGGATGAGGGAAGGGAGAAATTACCAGAACTCAGAAGGAGAAGGCTGTCTTGAGAGGACAATAACTTTGCTCAAAAGGAACAGCCAACCCAAGAAGACTTTGAGGTGAGGATGTCAGAGAAATATATGCTCCTATCTCAGGCTCCTCTCTCTCTCAGATCTCCTGATGGGGCTTCCCACTGGCCAACCCTCCCCCCACCCCCAAGAGAACAAAAGGCAAAATCACCTGCTGATAGAGTTCACACAGACTTCA